CCCCGGGGCAGGTGGGTGAGTGCAGATTCTGGTTCAGATGGGCCGGGGCGCGGCCTGAGCCTCCGCATTTGTAACCAGCGCCCAGGGGATGAGGCTGCCAGTCCACAGACACAGTACTCTGAGGGGCGAGACTTTAGGAGACCACGGTGCATCCAGGGTCTGGGGGGACTGCTGTCGGACTTCGCATCCCCCCAGTGGCAGAGGCGTTTCCTTCCTGGGGCAACCTCAGTGCCAGTGGGGAAGGGCTTGCTTGGCTGGGGGCCCAGAAAAGCACGGTGGGTAATTTAGGTTTTGGGAGCCAGAGGCCTGGAGGTGGGTGAGAAAGAGGCTTCCAATCTTTCCAGCGAGTTCTTGGGCTGGGGTCTGAGTGGCAGTGACCGTGGTTAAGAGCCCGGATGCTAGAAATCAGCCTGAATCGTTCTTGTTCACGCAAATTCTGGTATGCAAGAATGGGGCAGGTGACTGCCTGCTGTGGGCCTTCTATGGGAATCCTCACAGCACCCGCCTCATACCTGCTCAGTCAAGGGAGGCTGGTGCCGACCCGCAACGCACATCCCAGCCCAAGGGTCAGGGTCCTGGAGGAAGAAGGAAGCGAGCGCCTCTGGGAGAGATTCCTGAGAGAGCGGAGGGAGAGTGTCACCGGGTGGGGCAGAGTTCAGGGGTTGACTCACCACACTTTTCTACTCTCGCCTTCAGGAGGGGGGCCTCCGCCACCCCCACCACCTGCAGCACCTTCCACCTGGTCTGTCCAGAACGGTCCCGCCCCAGAGGAGATGGAGCAGCAAAGGAGGTGGGGCCATCCCCTGGGTGGAGAACCTTACTAGCACCAGAGTTCTAGGATATTCCAGAACCCCTGCCTCCCAGAGTCCAGAACACTCCAAAGTTCGGTTTCCAGAATGTTCTTACTACTCCCAGGGGGCTAGAAATGAAGGGCTTTCAGAAAACCCCACTTCTGGAGTCCGAGAAACACCCACACCCAGAGTTGCAGAACATTCTGACCCCTCAAATCCTGGTCCCCCACATTCCCAGAGTCCAAAAGTTGGTTGTTTAAGAGATCTTGGGCATTTTGTAATTCACATGTCCTTGACAGTCTGATGACTCCAATGCTAAGGTCTCGGTCCCACCCTGTCCCTACCCTTCCCCCATCTCTTTCCTGGGCCCCTGGGGGAGGAAGGCAAGGGTGGGGATTGGCAGTCAGCCTCCCTGGAGATCTGGGAGAGGAGCTGGGAGGTTGCTGGTCATCCTTGGGCCCCAGAGTGATGGCAGCTCCCATCACCCCTTCTCAGGCAACAGCCAGGCCCACCAGAACACATGGAGCGCCGAGTCTCCAATGCAGGTGATTGCTTGGTGGCCTTGGGGGGTTGGGGGGGAGCTCCCCGAGGAGGGGGTGGGCCAGCTGGACAGCAAGGAGTGAGCTCCTCTCTTAGCACCCTCCTTTTCTGTGTTTCTTCCAGGAGGCCCACCTGCTCCCCCAGCTGGGGGACCACCCCCACCTCCAGGACCTCCTCCTCCTCCTGGTCCCCCCCCACCCCCTGGTGCCCCCTCAGGGGTCTCGGCCGCAGGGCACGGAGCAGGGGGAGGCCCACCCCCTGCGCCCCCTCTCCCCACAGCACAAGGCCCCAGTGGTGGAGGAACAGGGGCCCCCGGGCTTGCGTCAGCCATTGCTGGAGCGAAACTCAGGAAAGTCAGCAAGGTGAGGGGCCCATGCGGGGCAGGATGTGGGGTCATGGCCCTGATGGAATAATGGGATGAGGCCCGAGTTTCTGGGGATGGGGGTGTCACAGGAGGGCTGGGGGGCCAAGAGGCCCGCCCATAAAGCCCCCTCCTCTTTGTAATTTCTCCAGCAGGAGGAGGCCTCAGGGGCGCCCTCAGCCCCCAAAGCAGAGAGCAGTCGGAGCACGGGTGGGGGGCTGATGGAAGAGATGAACGCCATGCTGGCCCGGAGGTGAGCCTGAGCCTGGAGCCTGGAGCCTAGAGCCGTCAGTGCCTTGGAAAGCTCTGGGAAGAAACCCCTCAGACCAGCAGTTACCACCTGGAGATTTCGGTTCAGTAGGGCGAGGTTGGGGGAGGGCTCAGATTCCCGCCTGGTTTGTTTCTTTGGGTGAAAGTTCCCTCTTTGACAGGCAGGTTTGGGATATAATGCTGGAGATTCCATTCTCCTGAGATGGCTGAGGTTTGGAACCACCTAGGTAGCCTCCAGAATGTTCTGAAACCCAGAATTGTAGGACCTCAGGGGCTCTCCCCTGAGGAGATCCTGCCTCAGAATCTTGGAAACTCAGATTCCTAGAATCCCAGCCGTCTAAGACAGAGACTTCCTCCCACTCTTAGGATTTTGTGATTCCCAAATGTGAGAATCGTAAACCACTCCAGTTGGAGAACAGCACTTTCCTTAACTTCTAAAAACTCCAGTTTCCTTAGCTTTGGAGAATTCCAGAACACTACACCTTAGACTCCACCTTTCTAGAACTCTGGTAAGAATTACTAGTGGCTGAGGGAGGGCTGAAGTCATCTGTTTTTGCCTGTCCCTCCTGCAGAAGGAAAGCCACACAAGTTGGGGAGAAACCCCCCAAGGATGAATCTGCCAATGTGAGTTAGGGGCTCTTCCTGCCATACGCACCTTAGGCTGTACCATTTGGGGAGGGCCGGGTGCGTGATAGGAGTGGGCGGGGCTTGAAGCGGGAGGAGGAGAATGAGCCGTCGGCCTCATGACAGTTTTATTTCCCACCAGCAGGAGGAGCCAGAGGCCAGAGTCCCAGCCCAGAGTGGTGAGTGAGCCGGTCTCGCTGCTGGAACTCTTAAGTCAGGGTGCCCTGTTCTCACGTGGAACGCCCCCTCATGGGGGGAGTCTGTGCAAACAATGCTGGGGATTGTAGTCTCCTAAGAAGGTTCTTTGAACAGGGGCTGATGGGGCTGGGGGGAAAGATGGAGGCGGGGCATTCCTTGTCCCTGATCTCTTCCTGATTTGTCGCCTTTCCCCCAGAACCTGTGCGGAGACCTTGGGAGAAAAACAGCACAACCTTGCCAAGGTGGGCCATCCATGCTGCTCCTCCCCCCTCCCCGAAAAAGATGAGATTTGCCAAATTTGTAGGAAGGAACACAATGCGACCCCCGGAATGGGAAGCAGGGGAGGCAGACCCTCTCTCTAACCTCGTTTCTGTTCCAAACCACACCGACTCTCCTAGGATGAAGTCCTCTTCTTCTGTGACCACTTCCGAGGCCCACCCCTCTACGCCCAGCTCCAGTGATGAGTCCGACCTGGAGAGAGTGAAACAGGTAGCTTGGGGAGGGGCCCGGAGGGGGAAGTTTGGGGGCTAGAAAGGGGCCACAGGAAGAAAGGAGATCTGCGTCCAAACTCTTAACACCGACCTGCCCTGTGATTCTGTGAAAAGGCCTCAGAAACCTCAGTTTTCCAGCTTGAGAAAGGGAGAGATTGAATCAGATCAGGGATGACACACATACCACAGCCTCCTTTTTCCAGTGCCGGAGACAGACCTTACTAATCTATCACTGCAGTCATTCCTGATGAATACCCAGAGTCCTTTCCAGCACGCTAGGCCCAGGTAGCCAGCACCAATTGGAATTGGCAGGAGAGAGGAATGTATTTGTCAGCGCTGGTACTGGACGCTCTCCAGTCCTTTTCATCTGGCTCCAAGGATCCAGAATTTCCCCCTAGAATCCTCCAGTCACTCTGTGGCCTTATCAGTGATGTCACTGTGTGTGTGTGTGTGTGTGTGTGTTGGGGGATGGGGGGAGTCTTGAACCTTCTTCCTCTGGCCCTTCCGTCATTAAGAAAGGGCGGCTTCATTTCTGCAAGTCCAGGCACCCTTCCTCATTGGTTGCACCCATTATTTCCAGGAGCTTCTGGAAGAGGTGAGGAAGGAACTACAGAAAGTAAAAGAGGAAATCATTGAAGGTGAGGTTTTTATTTTAAACATTTACTTTGGAGGCATCGTGTCTCCCGGAAAGGGTCCTGTATGGGAAGGGAAGGCAGAAGAGGCTTTTCTGCCCCTGACCTCTGCCGGTTTTCTTCCAGCGTTTGTCCAGGAGCTGAGGAAGCGGGGTTCCCCCTGACCACAGGGCCCTGGAAGATCTCATATCTCCTTTCTGCACACCCCGCCTGTCACCCCGCTTTCCCTGCCTCAACTTGACTTGGAATTGGCTGAAGACTACACAGGGATGCATCTTCCCCACTCCCCGTCCTACTTGGAAAATTCCAAAGGGGTGTGGCTTCCTTGGCTCCACGCCCACACCCATACTGGCTGCTGATTGGCTGGGGAGGCCCCCACCCTTTGCTCCCTTTGGTCCTTCCCCTCCGCCATCCCCTTGGGGCTGGTTCCTCTGCTGGGGATGTACCAATTAACCCCACAGTAAGGGGGAAGGAAGGAGGGAATTTCACATTCCCTTGTTCTAGATTCACTTTAACGCTTAATGCCTTCGAATTTTTTTTTTAAGAAAAAAAAAATATATATATATATTTAGGTTGTGGGGAAAGGGAAATTTTGTTTCTCTTTGGTTTTGATAAAATAGGGGTGTGGGGAGTTTTTAAATGCTGTACCCCAGGCTTGTCCCATTTGGGGCAGCTATTTAAGGGGGGGGATGACCCACCAGGCTGGGGGCACCTCCCTCACCCCCACCCCAGGGAGCTCCCTTCCCTTTGGCTCCTTCCCCTTTTCTATGAGGAATTAAGATGCTATAACTTTTTGGAACCTCAGTTTTTTGGTTTTTTTATTTGGGTAGGTTTTGGGGTCCAGGCCATTTTTACCCCCTGGGGAAAATAAGATGAGGGAGAAAGGAAAAGGGGAGGAAACCTCTCCTCTCCCACCTTCACCTTTAGCTTCTTGAAAATGGGCCCCGATGGAATAAATCTGCCAGTTTTTTATAAATGTGAAGATTTCTGGATTGATTTCAAAGGGCTGCTCTGATGAGGATAGGGGTGGGGTGTGCCCCTCCCATAGTAATCCACCTTACCCTCCTCCTCTTCCTTCCCACCCTGACCTGTTCCAGTTCCCACGCTCCGGCAACCAATCTACCACCCTGAGAAACCTAAGGACAGTCCCTCACTGTGTGGCATTGGGCAAGTCCCTTTGCTACCCCGGGGACCTCAGTTTCCCCATCTGGGAAACACCTTATAGGATGGACTCTGCCTGGTTCCTATGGGAATCCTCCCAGCTTCTCTGCTAAAACCAATGAGCCTTATACCCATTTTGCAGATGTACACCATGGTTCTCAGACACATTCTTAAAGATGACTTCTTTACCCCAGAGCTCCTTTAATTATAAAATACTTACAGTCTTAAAAAAATAGAATTAAGAAATCACAGAGCTCATACACACCCCCTTCAGTGGTTCAGTGGGTGGGCAGGGGGTAGGTGGGGTAGATAACCCTGCATGGTTGGAATATTCCATTTGGATGGGGGTGGGGGAACTTCATGGCTGAGGGCAGGTGGTCCCACTGGAGGAAGCCTTTGTAGGAAGGAGGGTGAGGGTGAGCTGGGTGACCAGTCCAAAGGCAAGAAGGAAGAAGGAATCCCTGAGTACTCAAGAGCGGGTTTGGATGAGGGATGTGACAAGTGCCCTCACGTAGTAGGGGAACAGGTGGGGGTTCCTATGAGGGGCTAGTAGAGGACAGTGGACAAGGACAACAGTAGGTCCAGAACTTCAGACAGGTAAACAAAGCTGAGAGCAAAACACAGAATGGTTCATCCCTAGGCAGGACCGATTTTTCTACCCAGAGGACCAAGTCCTGCTGGAACAGACCACAGAAGGCGAGGAGACCCTGCCCAACCTTTCCATGGGTTAAGGCACACACTGAAGTGGGGGTATCTGTTGGGATGATCCACGGGAAGGGATGACCAACTGAGGTACCAATGGATGATGGACTGAAGGCAGGAGCCATGGGGGATCTCGCTGGAGCTAAGACATTCCAAGATCCATCCCTCTCTGCCCCCTCCAAAGTGAGGTAGGGAAAATGATGGGGCCCACAGTCCCCCGGGAGTTTGCATTTTGGTTACAATGGTCTTTACCGATGAAGAAGGGGGAAAGGGTGTTCTGGTGTAATGGATAATGGATGGGGCAGGAGAGCCACTCAGATAAGTGGACGTGTGAGTGACAGAATGAGTTAGCTAGATCCGTGTGTCCTGCTGGCCCACCTAGTAGTGGGTGGGTGGGATCCAATGGAAGACAATGTCTTCCCATTACAAAGGGCTAAATCAGTGGACTAGGGGTGGGGGTGAGTTGGAGGCGGGGTGGGCAATGGGACTCCTGTTGGAACATTCCACTAATGGGTGGAGGAGCCGCTGCGGAAGGTACCATTGGGCAGGTTAGTAGGGACATGACCAAAAGCCCGGTTGTCTCAGCCCCAGTCCCGCCTCCCTTCTACCCCTAAAAGGGCAGGGTGGTTATTAGCTGGGCCGGTTCAGGAAGGGACAGTGGGGACAGAAGGTCATGTCGGAGACGTCACAGCCCAGACCACAGCCACATCGAAGACCCAGGTCCCCCGGCCCCCTATTCCTTGGGCGTTGCTTGGGGCGCGGACGGCGGGCCCCGGGCGCCGAGCTGGGCGCGCACCTCCCGCATCTGCGCCTGCAGCTCCACCACCGCGCTCTGCAGCGGCGCCGCCTGCACGCGATCCTGCAGCGCCTCCAGCGCCAGCGCCAGGCGGCCCACCTCGTCCCGCATCGCGCTCCAGGCGGCGTGCCGCTCCCTCTCCTTGCGCCCGCGCAGCGCCTGGTGGCGCCAGTACTCCAGCACCAGGCAGCCGCCGCCCACGACGAAGATGGTGGCCTCGCCCAGCAGCTCGGCGCCCAGCTCGGCGGCCGCGTCCTCGTTCAGCGGCTTGACGGCGTGCGCATTGAAGCCCATGATGCGCATCTTGGCCCGCATCTCCGCCCAGTGGTACACTGCGGGGGAAGAGGGGGAAGGGATCTTTTGCGCGGGAGCCGCTGCAGTCCCCCCCCCCCCCCCCTCGACGCCTCGGTGTCCCGGCCGGAGCAATGGGGACACGGACAGCCAGAATCGCCGGCGTTAGGCAGTGGGCGCCTTAAAGAGGACCGGCGCAGGGGCCGAGCGGGTTATCTGGCCTGGGGTGGCCCGGAGGGCATCTTTTGAAAGCGTCCAGAAGATTCTGGCGAGCAGCCAGGGATGAGAAATGCTGCTCTGGAGGGGAGGTCCTGAGTGGGGGACCGCACCTCGCGGGGGGGGGGGGGGTGTCACAAAAAAGCAGGTGTAAAGCTTGCTCCTTCAAGCTCCTTCCCCAGTGCGCTCGAGCGCCAGCCAGGATCCTCCCCGCCTCCCCTGAAGGTGGCGCTGACACTTCCCATCTCCCGAGGCGTGTTCGCTATGGGGTTTGGGGCTTCGGAAGGAGCTCCGGGCTTGGGCCAGGCTGTGCCAACAACTTCTTTACCTAATCGCTTATTCAGGTGAATAAGGACTAGGAGCGTGTCATCGTCCATAAACACAACACAATCAGAGCTTGGGTGTTGAAACACCCCGAATCACTCCGGGAATAATTAATACCCATCCATAGATACAGAGATACTGACCGGGAAAATACGGGTCCTCGAGCTCATTAAGAAATGAATTTCTGAAAACATCGTATACTTCACCCCTGCCACAGCTGACCTGATTACCTTTCCTTCCTTTTTGGTAGAAGAGTAACTCATGCACATGGGGGGAATGATTTAGACTACATAGAAGGGGGTAGACTGAAAAATGGAAGTCTGCCTTCCCACCTCCAGCTTCAGTCCTGCTCCCACTCCAACCACTTTTGGTCTTCCCTGCATTGATTTCTTCTAGTTTAACCCCATGATGCCAAATAACAAGCCTGTACCTCCATTTCTTGATTCACTAAGTTGAATTTTTAAAAAAATATTCTGTTTTGAATGTTCTACTGCCATCCACCCTTATGTGACTTTATCACATATTCTATATCCTGTCCTTCCCCACTCTCAATTTTTACAGGTGATTTGAATTTAATTTTTTACTGTTTATCGGTAATCGTTGTCCTTGTAGATAATATGCCTATTGCCTGAACTTCCTGACAAGTGTACCCATAAGCATATTAATTGCCCTACCCTGCCCTCCACTCCCCCACCTCCTATGGTCAGTCCCCCATACTATTATTGTTACATTGCCACAGTATCTTAGTTTTCTTTTTCTTTCTTTCTTTCTTTCTTTCTTTCTTTCTTTCTTTCTTTCTTTCTTTCTTTCTTTCTTTCAGATTTTATTTATTTGAGAGAGAGAGAGAGCACAGAGGGAGAGAGAGAAGCAGACTGCCCACGGAGCAAGGAGCCCAACGCGGGGCTCGATCCCAGGACCCCAAGATCGCAATCTGAGCCAAAAGCAACCGCTTAACCGACTGAGCCACCCAGGCGCCCGGCCATGGTGTCTTTCTAAGGTTAAAATAAGTCTTCAGTGCTTTGTCCATAGACTGAGTCTGAAAATGAAAATATAGAGCGTGTATATAATTAAGGTTATGTAAATACTAATCGCTGTGAACCCATAACGAAGATGTAATTTTGTTTCTGCATTCTGAAGCAGTAACAGTTGGTGGCTCTAACCATTGCTACATGTCATGTCACATTTTAGTCTTTTCATACTTATTTTTATTTGTTTGCTTATTTATGTATATTCCATGTCCAATATGGGGCTTGAACTAACAACCCTGAGATTAAGAGTTGCATGCTCTTCCCACTGAGGCAGCCAGGTGCCCAGCCTTCTCATATTTAGAGTTTTATTTTACTGTATGCACTTTTTAGTTTTCCCTAGAGTGGTGTTTCTCACCACAAATACCGGTTATGATCCACCAATCCCTAGCTCACCATGTGACCAAGACCATCCAGCTCTTTGCTCCTATTCTCTCTCTCTCTTTTTTTTTTCCTGTTCTCTTTATTAGTCAGCTGTGGACCCGTAAGCTATTTTCTGGGCCGCTGAGGGGCTGTCCTCTCATCCTGTCTTCACATTGTTCTCCTTCACACTGTTCCTCCTCTTTGAGGAACCGACTCTGTGAATTCCATTCTAGGTTGGCTGAAGTATCTCCCTAAGTACCTTTTTCAGAAAGGGTCTTGGTACCTAAGTATTTTGAATCTTTGCATATTTGAAATATCTTTTTCCACTTTCACACGGGACTAGGATGATAGTTTCTGGGCCAGAATTACTGGTTCAAAATCATACTCCTTGGGCACCTGGGTGGCTCAGTGGGTTTTGCATGTGCCTTTGGCTCAGGTCATGATCCCGGGGTCCTGGGATCGAGCCCTGCCTCAGGCTCCCTGCTCAGCAGAGAGCCTGTTTCTCCCTCTCCCTCTGCTGCTCCCCCTGCTTGTGCTCTCTCTCTGTGTCAAATAAATAAAATCTTAAAAAAACAAAAAACCCACACACAAAAACCCAAAAAACAAAATCACATTCCTCAGCGATTTGCAGACCTTCATTACCTGTAATGGGCAGAGGGGCGTTGTTGACATCCCTGTGGCTCTGAATGGGCCTATGAGTGAGTTTCCCTTATTTTATACCCCTCTATCTGAACCCTGTTTCTCTCTTTAGTCCTGGGAATTTTCCTTGTCTGTGCATCTAAGTATTAACCCTACCCAAACAGAGATCTGGTCTTTGCCCTTGGGGAATGTCCTGCCAGATAAGAGCACCTTTGTTTACCTGGAGCCTTGGGCCAGGCCAGATAATCTGTACTAGCAATGTAATTTATGGTGGGGGCTTTGGGCCATGTGGTATCAGTTCAGCCTTTAGAAAGGCTAGAAACTAAGGTCAGCCACACAGGTGGTAAATCTGGTCTCTATGTCCCATCCCCACTAAAACCCCTGGATGCCACGGCTCAGGTGAACTTCCCTGGTTGGCAATACTCCATATGTTTGTCATTCATCGTTGCTGGGAGAAGTTAGTTCTGTCCATGACTCCACAGGAAGAGGACAGCTGGAAGCTCACACTTGGAATTCTCTTGGGCTGTGTTCTCCGTGCCTCTTCCCTTGGCTGATTGTAATCTGTATCCTTTTGCTGTAATAAACTGTAACTAGGAGTATAACAGTTTTCAGTGAGTTCTGTGAGTCCTTCTAGCAAGTTATCGAAACTGGGGGTTGTTGTGGGCCCCCCTCGAACTTGCAGTTGGTGTCAGAAGGGTGGTCTTGATGAGCCCCTCATTTTGTACATCTTATGCATTTCCTGCTCTCCATTTCCCCTTTATATCTTCCAGAACAGTCTGAGGCGCCGCCTGCACTGACCCTCCACGCCTCTAGATGTCCCTCTTCTTGTTTTCTTTGCCCTTCTTCCTTCCACATCCTGTTAGATTTCATTAACTTTTCCTTTCAGAACATCTGTCGGTTTCAGGGGGGTTGACTACCATATTTGTGATTTTCATAGTCTTTCTTTATTAAAACATTGTATTATAGAAGATCCAAACATGCAGACAAGTTTAGAGTCACCACTCAGGTGTATCACATCTACATCTTGATAAGTGAGCTAAGTGAGAACTCTGAGAATGTGGACCCATTGTGGTAACTGGAAAGCTACAGCTGAGGTTATGGTGCAGGGAACAGGGGGGCAGGCCCTGCCCAGCCAATGCCAAAATCAAGGTGGGATTGACACTGGGTGCTGACCCAAAGGGAGTGTCTCTCCTGGAGCCTTCTACGTCCTCCTTTCCCTCTCTGCAGCCCCTGCCCTGATCCAGGCCTCTTCCTCTCCCACCCTTTCCGCCTCCAACACTGCCCCCACAAGGTAGCCAGAAGAGTCTTTCTAAAGCACAGATCTGACCATGACCTTCCCCTGCTCAGAATGTGCTGTGGCTCAGTGTCCTCAGGAAAAAAGCCAAAGTCCCTAGCATGATTTTTAAGGTCTCTGAACATCTCTCCAGGGTGATCTTTGGAATGAACTCACCTGTGCCCAACCCCCTACCAACCTCTACTGTTTCCATACAGACTGTTTCCTTGTCTGAAATTAATTTTTACATGAGCAGCAGATATTTTGTGATAGAAGTGTGTGTTGGTTCTTTCACCCTGAACTGTTGGGGCAGGTAACTACTCAGCAGCAGGATGCTAATCTAGGACGCTTGCAGGAGATGTCAGTTCACTGGGAAGTTCCCATTCCAGAGCAGGCCAGGATGAGTTTCTGTCGAGTACAAAGCATCAATGAGTTATGTGAATTCATTTTAGTCTCTGGTGGGCATGGTCAAAGTGAAAACTTTGGGGCTGGTTTCACAACAAGCTTCAACAAATGCCACCATTAAACAGCAGGGTGTTTTCTCAGACTGTGGCCTGGGGACAAATCAGGCTCCATCCTTGTGAATTTCAGAATCAGTTTATTAATTCAAACATATGCATTCAGACATACACACAGCTTTTAAGTTCTTTAAACTGTATATATCTAGTCATCTGCAAATAAAAACTATTTTTTCCTTCCCGATTCTTTTGCCATTTATTCCTTGGCTCCTTTGAGACATCAAAGAAGGAAGTATGATATTTGCTGTAGGATTCTACCAACTTGAGGAAGTCCACTCTTTTCCTAGTTTTCTGAGAGTTGTTTTTTTTTTTTTAATCATGAATGGGTGTCTACTTTAATTAAATATCTTTCCTGTACCTACCTAAATAATAATAAGTCATTTCTTCTTTTTATTTATAATGAATTACATGGACTAATTTTTTCAAAATGTTAATAAGATTTCTGAAATGATAAATTTTCTTTTTTATATATTGTTGGATTTGCTCTCCTAAATTTTTTTTTTAAAGATTTTATTTATTTATTTGAGAGAGAGAGAGAATGAGAGACAGAGAGCAGGAGAGGGAGGAGGGTCAGAGGGAGAAGCAGACTCCCCGCTGAGCAGGGAGCCCTATGCAGGACTCGATCCCGGGACTCCAGGACCATGACCTGAGCCGAAGGCAGTCGCTTAACCAACTGAGCCACCCCGGTGCCCCTGCTCTCCTAAATTTTTTGAGGATACTTGTATCTTCTGTGCATGAGAGAGCTAGATGTTTGTTTTTGCAAAGTTCTTGTCAGGTTTGGGTGTTACGGTGATACTGACTTCATAATGCAGGTTGGGGTGTCTTGCTAATTTTTATAATCTCTTCAGAGAGGGTTTGTGGTGACTTGGAATCAATGGTAGTGTGAAAATATCAATTTTTCCTGAATTCATCCATAGACTTGGTATAATACCAA